TCCAGATCTTCACTGGCCTTCCTCGACGCCAACCATCACAGAATTTAGCAAATAACGAAATATTCGTCAATTCCTGTGGTGGACAACGGAGAATGCGCCGTAACCAGGGTAGGTGACGCTTTGTGATATCATTTGTATCATTATTAATACGAAGATTGACGAAGACATAACCATGTATGATTTTATCCGCTCCATGGATCCGTACGATATGCCTTAGATGTGAGTGGTCAAAGGCTAATAGCTTCTTAATGTCTTCCACTCTTATTGGCCATATTTCGCAGCCATATAGCAACATCGAGCTATATGGACGCGGAACTTCGTCTTTTGGTGATTTTTCGACGGTTCCATAAAGATTTCATCAACAGGAAAAATATTTCTAGCTGTCCTTATTCGAGTTACAATTTCATCCTTTGCTTGGCCATTTGGGATTAGAGTGGATCTAAGGTATTTAAAGTCAAGTATTTCCTCAACCGGCAATGAATTGACAAGAATAGGTATTTTATCAGCATCCTGTAAAAAACTGACTTTGAGTCCAATTCTCGCTACAGTTGTTGACATATTGTTTAACAATATTTGCATTTCCTCATAACTGACAGTAAAAAGGACTACATCATCAACTTGTTCTAGGTCTTTGATGCTATATTCTGGACTGATTCGCACCTCTTGAGTGCAGACAAGCGATGCCCATTATCCAGTCCACCGCATAATTGAATATTGTGGAAAGGACGCAGCCCTGACGGACATTAGTTTTTTTCGAAGGAATCTATCAGTTCTCCATATATAGAGACCTGCGCCAGAATATACTGCCTTTTTGAAGAGAATGGTCTTCTCTGAAACACCGCCATATTCCATCACTTTCCAGAGTTCTCTATCAAGCGAATCGAAGGCAGCTGCAAAATCGATAAAGCATGTGACGTTGTTGGTATTTGAAGCGATGTTCCCAGCACTCTTCTTCGCCTAAATATCTGGTCACCACAACTGTGTCCCGATCTGCATCCAGCTTGATTAGGACGCATTCAGATGTCTCGTATTATCATGAGTCTATTTAGGAGAAAGGAAGGAAGCGAAAATTTTTACGGAGATGCCCAGTAGGCTGATTCCTCGGTAATTGCTGCAGTACGTCCGGTTACCTTTTTTTAGGAATTGAAAACAGAATTGCTTTCCTCCAGTCTTCTGGTATTCTTTCCTTTTGTCATACCAGAGAATACATTTACTGAAGGTGAATTATGAATGATAATGGATATTTGAAGAGTTCGGCCCGAAAAACATCTCGAAAAAGGGAATTTTATTAGCCATAGCCTTATGGATTACAAACATTATTTCCTCTTCTGGTTCGGTTACAAATGTACAGCTGGATAAGCGAATCAGCTATATCAGCGACGACAGATGGCTCATCGTGGTTATTTTTTTGGCGTCAAAAAATTCTTTCTATCTTATACGGCAATTCTTAACAGCTTTAATACCCTTTAGCACGCCATTAATATCCCGCATCATTCTTGAGTTGTAGTTGCTTTGTGAAGAAGGAGAAACAGTTCCTATTATCACCTATTACAGCCGCCATCTCCATTTTCAAGGCCATATCGCTCCAATAGCGAGTTCTTTCCCACCGTGCTGTCATTGTAATTCTTCAAAGCACCCGATAGTCATGATCTCCTGACATTCAGGCGTGCCTTAAATATTCGCCATTTTACTCTATTTTTATGCGTATTTATTTATTCATTTATTTTAAAAAATATAAAGCACATAACAATATAAATCAAAAATAAATTTGGAATTGCTTTATTTCACAACAAAAAATAAAGTCAGCCTTATCGTTGAATGATTTTAAGACTTTACCGCGAATTATGATATCACAAAGCACGGCATTTGGCCATAAAATAGAAATTTTCAAAACCGTGGCTAAGATGAAATTTTAGCAATGAGAATAGGCGACTTCTCATTAATTTTAAAGAATTGGTAGAAGAAAACTCCGAGGGCAAGGTTTCTTTGACATTCTATTTTTATTAATTTTATCAAAAACTAAACTTAATATGTAAATCTTTGAAAGAAAAGAGATTTTGGAAAAGACAATCATATCACATATTTTACAAATATATTATTTCACAAATGAATAAAAACAATTCAACTCTGCTATTGTTATACTATGTGATTAAACCGATAAAAATTAATTATTTAAATTTGTTATAACAGATAAGGAAATTCTTCGAAAAAGGAGGTAATTAATTAAAATTTAAAGACTAAAAATAAAAAAATTAAAACACTAAATTTTTTCGATTATTCTACTATCACAAAAATTTTGCTAACTTAAAAATAGTTAAATAGTAAACTAAATGATTAATTCTTTCTTGAATTAATGTATCTTTTAATATTGAAATTTAAATTAAAGCATATTTTGGGTTTTCTCTTGGTTCTTAATAATAAGCATGCCAATTTGCAGAAATTTTTAGTTAAAATTTGATGAAAAACTAAAAATCCTATCTACTATTTTACTTCATTATTATTATTTATAATCCTATCTACTATTCTACTTTCATTATTATTATTTGTAAATGATGTATATGTATGTTTCCCATTTTTAAGATTTATTCAATTATTCAATTTTCAATCAAACGGCACTTGAATATTCTATAAAATCCCAAAAATGTTAATTTCAAAGATGTTTACTTTTCGAATCACTCTTATTGATTATTGATCTCTTAATAATTATGGCATTACAGGGGCCCTTTATAACCGGGTATCAGATTACATAAAAAACCGTCAACCTGTTAAATCTGCTGTTCTCCAAGGTAGTTGTATTGCGCCATTGCTTTTTCTATTATATATAAATTATATCACCAATGTGGTACTAAATTCTACTATTTATTTTTATGCTGATGATTGTAAAATTTATTATTCTCATGGTTATTCAAATAGCCTCAAATAATCTTATCAGTCATATCACCAATGATACATTTCTTAATATTGGACCGAAAATCACTAGAATTATTTTAAATAATAATTTTATTGAATTATTACAATGGAACCAATTATCTTCAACACTAAGAACGATTGAACGCTTAGTATTGTTTAAAATTTCCATCGGAGAACCATTTGGTGATAGAAATACAGATGTGTACCATCTGAATCTTTTAATGAAAGGTTAACGATTGAAGAGGATACAAGTTCGAAAGTGGAATTACCATTAGCCATCTTCTCTATAGGAATCAGGCTGAATCGCTCATTATTTTAATGTGAATTTACAGTGAGCTTTGGGATATCATTCGGAATGGAGAGCTTTGGTGGATCTCCACTGCAGGAGGACCTTAACAGAATAATCTGCTGGCTATATGACAGGCAAATTACCCTTTCCTTTCAAAAATGTAGCGTTCTTCATATCAATTCTAAAGGATCCGATTTTTCTAATCTTATTATTAATGGCAATATAATCAGTAGAGTCTCACATATTTCCGACCTTGGTATAATCGTGGATGAAAATCTCGATTTCGACCTTCATTGCAGAACCATAGTAAAGAAATCCTCAAAAATACTAAATTTTATTTTTCTTTCGTTTAAGAACAAAACTGAAGATTTCCTTATCAAAATGTACAAAGCGTTTGTTCGGCCACTTCTTGACTACAATGTTACATGTTACTCCTCGAGATATCGTAAATTAAGTAAAATAATTGAAGGGCTCCAAAAATATTTTATACATCGCCTCTCTCCTAATATCGATTTTAATTATAAAAGATAACTTCAACTTAGATTCCCTCTCAATTCGTCGAATTTATTTTAAACATTTAGATTTAATTTATACTTAATCAATAAGATTTAATTTATACTTATAAGATTTTGTATGGTTAAACTAGATTGTTCAAAATATTATAATTTTAGGTTAAATCCAACAAGAACTAATGGACCAAAATTACTAAAACCTATGTATAAAACTAAACTGAGGACTCATGATTTCTTCATTCGTAATATTAATTTCTGGAATAAATTACCGAACAATATAACTTGTGCGCCATCCCTATTTTAAAAAAAAATAGATAATATCATTTATGATATTATTTAAAAAGTTCAGATCATGCAGGAAGTATGAAATCTCGATTTATACCATCCGATTATAGTTGTTTCGTATTGTACTATATTATATTATTTTGTAATTTCCTCTTTCTTTCATTTTTAAATTGTTAATTTTATTTTATTTCATTATTATTTTTTGTTTTTGTCATTGATTCTTTTCTTATTTGTTATCTTAACTGTTGTTAATTAATACAAGCATGGCATTTGCACCCTGCTTGGCTGGTTTTCGATAAATAAACTGACAAACGATTTGTATAACAAAATAACTAAATAATTCTATTCTAGAATGACGAAAAGAATTTAATTACGATAAGAAAACCAGACAATCGAAAACGAGAGGGCGCTAATAAATTTCAGTCCAAAGAACGAAAAGAACCCTATACCATACCACTTAAAACCTACAGCAAAAAATTACTATATACTATATCGTTTTTTCAAAACGAATGCACCATAAATCAAGAAAATAAAAATCACAAATATATAAAATGATGTACAAAGAAACAAAGAATTGATAAAGACTGAGTTTATTAAATTTCTCCTTAACTCTCTTCCTAACTTCTAACTTACTAACTTACTTCTTCTTCTGATCTATCTGCCGATCTGATCTAAAAACCAATATTGAAAAAATTTTTAGCTAAATTAGGTTCTCTTTTGTCCAAACAATGGTTAGTGAGCGGCACAAAAACCACAAACAAATTTTGCAATATATTATGATGCCAAACTATAAAGCCATCTATCTTCTTTAAATTCTACGCCCGAAAAAATTCCCATTTATAATACCGGATATAAATTTTTAATAGAGAAAGAAGTGGAAAAAACAAACTACATTGAAATTATATGATTTACCTAAGTGATAAAAAATGTTCCATGAAAAACTTCGAAGAAAAACATTTACAAATTATTTATTACTTACAAATATGGTTTCATAAAAATATTGCTTACATAAAATTACACTGCCTATTTTTGGAAGTTAACTGATTGAAATTCCACCGCTGATTAAGATTCTCATTATTTGAATAACTTGTTGCATCCACATCATCATCTAAGACATCCATGTAGGTCTAAATTAATACAAGCTAAAAAAAAAAAAACTGATAAGAGATCATAAAAGGAAAATACGGATAACTTAACTGTTATTTTTAGTAAAATTATAAAATGAAAAACGTCGCAGGAAATCAATAATGGAAACAATAACGCTACAAATGCCTACAAAGCAAAAATTATAAATTTAAGTTTAATGATGATGAAAAATGTTTCATAAAGTTTCATCTCATTTTCAGCAAAATTGAAATTTACCCACTTTGATATGTTCTGCATTGGTAAGCCATTTTGAAACTTGCTTCTGAAGATTAACTGAACGTTGTGATTTTTTTGCTAAAGTTAAAACGCGCATGGCTCCTTCTATGGCTAATGTATATTTTTCAAGGGCTTCTGCCCATCTTTCTTGCATTTCAAGTTCATGAGCAGTTTCTGCAATCACTACAGCGGCTCTTACCTGTAATAGACAATTTTAATTTTAATTTTAACTCCCATAAAATACTGAAAAATATTGGAATAAAAGTACTATTTCCTATAATCGCAATGTCACTCAGCTGAAAATATTTCTGCAACAAAAACTGAATGGAAATTGATACTTTTGTTGGAATAAAATTCCAACTAACAAGCAAAAAAATTTCGGTGGTATTCAAGAATATATGGATTTATGCTCCAATCAAAATAGATTAAATTGACCTGTGGAAAATCAGCCCAAACATCACAATCACTAAATATTCGAGTCGATGGCAAAAATTTATCAGAGACAGGTCTTAAACGATCTTTAAGGCATTCTGCATGCTCCAAATTTGCACGAATTTTTTCCCGAAGACTTTTTTTATTTTGCTCATCAAATAGCTCCAAACAATTCATGTATAACTGAACTGCACTGGTTAAATATTTTATTGCATCACGTATTTTCTGAAATATTATTTTAAAAAACCAAAATGAAACATAATGGGCAAAAAGAATTTGTCGAGAAAACAAATATTATAGATATGGATAAAATAAAATTTAAAATTCAAAATTTTCATACATTTTCTCTTTCCAACTGCGAAGATATATCGATAAATTCATCAGCTTTCTCAAGTTCTTTCGTAGAAAAAGAACCTTGGTATAAATTAACAAAAGGATGAGCGAAAAAATTTTCGAATCGAATCCTTTTGTTAGGATTTCGCACTAAGAGACCTAAAAGAAATTTGATTCAATTTAAAGCTATAAAAATTTGAGCCAAATTTACTCGAACCTTCGATTTCAATATACTTTGCAAAAACAGACTTTGTAAAAGATCCATACAATCAAATGATAATAGCACATTTGTCGGAAATTTTATTGGTTCATGCGATTTTATTTGGTCAATAAGTTTTTCATATGAGTCAGTAGCAAAAGGTGCACGACCATATAAACATTCATACAAAATAACTCCCGAAGACCTAAAATACTGAAACAAATAATATGAAAATAAGATATTAAGTGCAAAGAAAAATGAAAGAAATGAGGAATAAGAATTACCATAAGTCAACTCGATTATCATATTGACCATAATTAAATATTTCTGGAGCCATGTACAAAGGTGACCCTCTAAATGATGTCGTAAATTCACTATGATTGAGATATTGCGATAATCCGAAATCGGAAACCTCAATATAAAAACTTTGACATTAACATAAATAGATTTATGGGGTCCTCAATTACGATCCATTTTTTCAACAGAAAGTAAGATTTTTTCTCTTTACTCCTAAATTTTTTGTTCAATTTAAGGAATATTTCTTCCAAAAAGCTTGCGAAATTTTTAAAATTTTACCTTTTTTTTAAATAAGCGATAACCTGCAAAATTTATAATTCAATTAAGAGAAACCAACCTGAAAAAAAGTACTGATGAAAGAAAAAAACGCTATAATAAAATATAATGATACAAAATATTATATTGCATTACGCAGCCAATTTTCGTGGAGAAAAATAGAAATAAAAGAAAGAAAAACGAAATATTTTCAATTTATGAAAAAGAAAAAGAAATAAACCTTAATTAATGGACGATAACGATTCGTTAAAAGAATATTTTGCGGTTTCAAATCCATATGTGCAACATTCATTGCATACATATATTGAATAGCTGCAGCAAGTTGACGAAAAAAATGTCGGGTGATTGCTTCGGGAAGGCAACCATGTTGAGAAATAAGTGATGCAAGATCACCGCCACCACAGTACTCCATAATTAAATAAATAAAATTTTTATCCCATTGAAAATCGTATAACTGTACGATATTTCTTCAAATAAATTATATGAAATCAAATGCATAACAAAAATAAAACTATAAAAGGACGAAAAATGTTTAGACAGTGAAAAATAGTGAAATAACTTCGAAACTCATGAAAATTAAATTCATGATTAAATACTTATTTAACGATATAATAAAATTAAATGTAAGTTAAAACAACTGACAAATGGACAAAATTCATTTAAAAAATATTAAGGTTCATACTTGTGCTTGAGCCTCTTTAAAATTTTTACTTCCGAAATAACGCAATCTGATGAAAGTTTCGATGAGTTTGCTGTTCGCATATCAATACATTTTATAGCGACAGTTGTTCGGATTCCATTAGAAGTAGATGAACATGATAAACCTTTATATACTTTTGAAAAAGCGCCACTACCAACCCTGAATGGTTTTATTTTAGTCCGATTGAAAAGGATCTGATAATATCTAATGTTTAAATTATATTCAACAATATCTGATATTTAATATTTTTTAGAAAGAATAATTTATTTGTTGTCAAATGTTATTTCTTCCAATCACCTTGATCAATCTTTTTACCTTTATCTTTTATATAATCAACAAAGAGAAGAATACATAAGTAAAATGAATGAAGCCTAACAGTCCTTCTCATTCTCAACATACTACTCAAATTCTTATTGCATAAAGAAGCTATCATTATCAGCCTTTTAAAATTTGGATTTATCATATGAAAGTAAGAATTAGCGCAAGAAGCCATTTAAAGCTTAGATCTATGACAAGCAAGAATGGCCGTTATCAATCCTTTAAAGCTTGGATCTGTCATATGATAAAATTAAGGAGAAGTCTTCCTTACACAGTTTTTAAAATACTTTAAAAGTAAAGACTGACCTGTCGACAATATTGTACCCAACAATAATAGTAGGAATATTACCATCGGGGAGACTTTTGGCCATTTACAGTAAAGTTATTAATAGCAACCATGAATTATTTCAGAAACATGAGACTGCGAATCCGCAACTGAAGCTGACTATTAAACCTGAGAATTTCCACTACAAAGCAGTAGCAAATTCCAAGAACTTTTACTAAGCTTCTATTCATGGTTCATTGAGGCACTTAGGCCACTTGGGCATTTTCTTAGCAGAATTGCATCTTGAGTGTTTGCGTTTGGTTTGGGAATCTTCATATCAATATGATCTGTATAGTTCTATATATCTGAAATTCACTCGATCTTGCTATATGGTTGTGAGACGTGGCCAATGAGAGTGGAGGATATTAAGGAGTTATCTGCTTTTGACCGCTCTTGTCTAAGGTGTATTTTACGGGTCTGTCGAGCGATTAAGGTACCACATGATCGCATCTATATTCATTTACACTTCGTTCATATATCATCTGCATTAAAAGTTCAATCTCAGAGCGTCGTTTTCGCTCGTTCACCTTCTTCGTCGTCCACTAAAGGAGATTTATTTCATTATTTGCGAAATCCTATGATGGACGGTCAAAAGGGAGAGCCTTGAACAATCAGGAAAGATTTTGAACATAGTTGGACCAGCAATATATGGACTTAAACGATGAAAAAAATAGCTTCTATTATTAGACGTCGACGTATCGAACAGCTTGGAAATGCATTAAACTTATAGCCAGCGGACAGAGTCTTACCAGTAATGGTGTAAGCTATTAGAAGAAAATGAGAATTCCTGCATCTTTTTTTCAATGTTTTAGAATTTGCTTTTATAGTAATTCCCAATTCCTTACATTTCTTGTTGGTAGTTGCCGAATGAAGAAAAATAAATTAAGTGGTTAGTAAATTTTATTTATTTTTTGGTTAGGCTTATTGCCTTTTAGTGCGATGAGGAAACGACGCTCTGAAACTCTTTCGAGTAAGTTACTTGGCAATAGAAGTGTAGACGCGTCCCCGGAGACAAAGACGTTAGATAGAATCGAATAAATATATTAGTTGGCTTAGCAAATATTTTGTACGCCGTCTCAATTACCCGATAATCAGTAACCATTCTCGTATATACTCTCTCTCGCTATATATTTAATTTCAAGTAATATTTGTGGAAAAAAATTTTGTCGAATAATTTCGTAATTTTTATAAAATATTTTGCCCACATTTTAAATATCGAATTCGAATTCATATAATACTTAACGCTTCACTGGAATTAATTTCGCTTTTCCGAGTGCTTGATTTCACAAAATTTATAGATTATTTAGATAAGGAAGATGCAGTTTTCGGCGGTGAATGGTGTAAAAATATATAATCTAAGTGCTGGTAAATCGGTTCCCGAATGGTTATCGGAAAGAAAACGAAGAAAATTAAATCATAAAGATATTGGTTGGTTAATTTTTTGTTAAATCGTGTTTGTTGTATCATTTGAAATTAGCAGAATTTATCTTCATGAAGTAAATTTTTAGATGTTCGACGAAGAATTCAATTAATTCAAGATTTTGATATGCCTGATTTAAGCGATAATATTACATTATCCCCAGATGGTCGCTATATTTTTGCAACGGGTTTATTTCCTCGTTTTTTTCCAACTGTTTGAAATATTTCAAGAAGAAAATAATTTCTGATTTCCTTCCTTTGCTTGATTTGCAAAAAAAATTAAACTCGAATTTTTGATTTTACTTAAATTTACAAAATTTAATTTAAAATTTTTTTTGGTCTTCTTACAATGCATTTAAATTTAGATTTTTTCTTTTTAGATCTGAAATTAAAATAATAAAATTCGCCAAAATAGTAAAAAACTATCAATTTTTATTTAATTTTCAGTTACTTTAGGATCATACAAACCGTGTATCAAATGTTATGACATTGATAATTTGTCACTGAAATTTTCTCGTGGTTTGGATTCTGATGCAATTAAAGTTATTATTTTGTCTAAAGATTTTAAAAAGGTTAGTTTTCCTGTGCCTGGCATGAATCTTTTCGATTTTGTTAATCGTTTCATATTTTAATAAATATAAATTTCATATAATTCAATTTTCTTATAAGTTTTTATTGAAAAAAAATTGGATATGATTACTAAAAATTTTTTTGTTTATAGTTTATAATATTGGAAGAGGAGCGATATTTGGAGTTTCATGCCGCTTTTGGAAGATATTTCAGAATGCGAGTACCCAAATTTGGCCGTGATATGGCTTTTTGCAGTGAATCGAGTGATCTTTATATCGTTGGAAATAGGTAATAGTTTCCCTATATTAAATTCATATATATATACTGTTACATTATTCATATATGAAACTGCATATTAGTTTTCGTTTATTATACTTTTCTATTATATATTATATATATTATAGTTCGGATGCAATATATCGTTTTTTAGCAGTGAAATTTTTCGACTGAACTTAGAAATGGGACGTTTCCTTGAACCGTTAAGAACGTCTTCATCATCTCTAAATCGCTGCGAGTTTAACAGCCACCATTCTTTATTTTTGTGTGGAACAGTTGATGGGAGGATAGAAGCTTGGGATCCTCGTGATGTTAACAAAGCGGCAACTCTTGATTGTGTAGCTTATGCACTTGCACAGGATGCTGAAATGTGTGGTTCCCTTTGTTCGACCTTATCATTTAGCGCCATTTGGCAACCAAAAATTGAAATTTTTGTTTCCTATAATTTATATAATTATTTATAACTTATTATCCAAATAGTATAATTTTAGTTCAACTCCCGAAATTTCATGTATTAAGTTCAGTGGTGCTTTAAAGATGGGAGTGGGAACGAGCACAGGCCGAGTATTTTTTAATTTTTTAAATAATTTCTAATACAACAATGGATTTTCGTTTATTGATGCTTTAAAAATAGATTTAATCAAAAAAAAGTGATAAAATTCATTAGGTCATATTTTAACTGGCTATTTAAACTTTTTCATTTCATTTTGAGTAGATTTTTGAAATTCTATTTTAATTTCTATTTTATTCTATTTTAATTTCTTGTAGGTTCTCTTGTATGATATTAGATCGAGTAAGCCTTTTTTGGTCAAAGACCTTAGAACAGATTTGCCTGTGAAGAATATTGATTTTGTTCCCCATCAAAATCTTGTGCTAAGTATGGATAATCGTATTTTAAAAATTTGGGAAGAAAAAAATGGTAAACCTTTTGCCGCCATCGAGCCAGGAACAATTCTAACTGATTTTTGCCGATATCCCGATTCAGGTTTTTTCCAAATTTTTATTAAATTTATCAAAAATTAGTTTAGACTTAAAAAAGCACAATTTTCAGAAAATTCTGCCATTAATGCATCTTAATTCGTTCATTATTTTTTATTTTCATTATTTTTATTCTATCTTATCATTAGGTCTTATGTTCATGGCTAACGATGCTCCAAAAATGCTTCAATTTTTTGTTCCATCCATTGGCGTAGCTCCTAAATGGTGCTCATACTTGGAATCTATTACTGAAGAACTCGAAGAAACTGAACAGCCTGCAGGTTTTTTAAAATTCTTTTATGTAAATAAAATGAATGGTGTTTTCGTTTTAAAAGTAGTTTTAATTTTCTTTAAAAATCTCTAATAAAAAATTATAGTGTATGATGATTACAAATTCATATCGAAAAATGAATTGGAATCAATTGGTTTATCGCATTTAATAGGGACGAACATACTTCGACCATATATGCATGGATATTTTATTGATGTTCGGCTATATAATAAAGCTGTCATACTCATGCAACCTTTTGCATATGAGAACTGCAAGAAACAGAAGGTTATAGCCTTCTTTTTGTTTCTATCTTTTATAAAAGATTAAGCAAATTTTAAGAGTAACTTAGCGATTATATTTATTTATTTTTTAATCTTATTGTCTTATTAATTTTATTAATTTTAATTTTGTTAATTAGTTTTATTTTCTTTTAATAATTATCTATATTTCTCTGTCTTTGACGGGAATAAACCTGTCAATATCAAAAAGCCGGTTGGCTGATGGCGATCAACCTGTATCTTTATCCCCAAGCGACTCTATGGTGAAAGGATCAGGTCTCCTTGGGACGTCTGCGTCTCCGGATGTGAATGCTACTTCTGATCCGGTGGTACTTGCGATAAATATACAATCCGGACATAATAATAAAAATTATAATAATAATAACAAATAATAATGATAATGGTAATAATAATAATGATAATGACAACAGTAATAATAAGTCTAAGTCCAAGGCACGAACATAAAATTTGCTGAACCAAGATAAGTACTCAAAATATCGTTAAACGCGGTAAGGTGCTGGCTATAGCTGCTTGGTACGTCTGAACGCTTATGGATGTTACAAGCAAAGCGATCACTGTCCACACCTCTAAATACCGCCTTTTTATCGGACTTCCATCTTCCTCATGTCGGCTCTCGTGTAATTATCAAATCTGATTCCGAGCAAAAATATTGGCTATGTCACAGTGGTTTTTGAATAACTCGAGGTGAAATGGCGTAGTGATTATCATGTCTGAAAAGGCTCTACCCGCTCTGATTGAATGGAATCTAGTAAATGACCGTATGGCATACCCTTTTTTCAAGGGAAAGTTCTGCAATATTTCAATCATCAGTGTATATGCTCTAACTCTATGCGCAGATGGCCGTGATAAGGATAAGTTCTATGCGGAATTTCAACTGTTAACAATATCTCTATCGGGAGTTGATATGGTCATACTCAGGGGAAATTGCGCGCGTAGGTCATGATGCCGTTCCGATGAACTGGATAATTGGCAAATATGGCATTCGGGTCCAGTGCCAATGGAAAACGCTTTCTTCGTTTTGCTGAAGAACATAAACTCTTTGTTACTAATACTTGCTTTCGGCATCGAAGAAAACATCTAATGACGTGGAACTCTCCGGACAACAATATTCTAATCAGATTGACTGGTAAGTCATTTATGTACTTGATAGTCGTTCTTACGGAGTGCTAAAACTGGTAATCGCCATGGATCAGATCATGTTATGGTTCGAGCCGAGATTCGTATAAAATTAACAACTCGTAAGAAACAGCGCATCCCAAGATCTTTCAACTATCTCGAATTAAAAGATCCGGGAATGATAAGTGTATTTCAAACCGCATTACTGAAATACCTTAGTGAAATGAATTTTAATGATATCTCTGGAAAGGAAAATGAATACTAGTTCGAACTAAAGACATGCCTACAAAAGTCAGCCATTTCCACGCTAGCACACTAGTAGGAAATGCTAGTTGGGTGTCAAAAGCAACTGTCCAACTGTCCGAAAAAGCCCGAATGTCAGGAGATCCTGACTATCGGATACTTCGAAGAATTACTGGTCCGATAAACTTTCGCCTTCTTCACAAAGCAACTACAACTCAAGAATGATGCGGGATATTAATGGCGTGCTAAAGAGTATTAAAGCTGTTAAGAATTGCCGTATAAGATAGAAAGAATTTTTTGACGCCAAAAAAATAACCACGATGAGCCATCTGTCGTCCCTGATATAGCTGATTCGCTTATCCAGCTGTACATTTGTAACCGAACCAGAAGAGGAAATAATGTTTGTAATCCATAAGGCTATGGCTAATAAAATTCCCTTTTTCGAGATGTTTTTCGGGCCGAACTCTTCAAATATCCATTATCATTCATAATTCACCTTCAGTAAATGTATTCTCTGGTATGACAAAAGGAAAGAATACCAGAAGACTGGAGCAAAGCAATTCTGTTTTCAATTCCTAAAAAAAGGTAACCGGACGTACTGCAGCAATTACCGAGGAATCAGCCTACTGGGCATCTCCGTAAAAATTTTCGCTTCCTTCCTTTCTCCTAAATAGACTCATGATAATACGAGACATCTGAATGCGTCCTAATCAAGCTGGATGCAGATCGGGACACAGTTGTGGTGACCAGATATTTAGGCGAAGAAGAGTGCTGGGAACATCGCTTCAAATACCAACAACGTCACATGCTTTATCGATTTTGCAGCTGCCTTCGATTCGCTTGATAGAGAACTCTGGAAAGTGATGGAATATGGCGGTGTTTCAGAGAAGACCATTCTCTTCAAAAAGGCAGTATATTCTGGCGCAGGTCTCTATATATGGAGAACTGATAGATTCCTTCGAAAAAAACTAATGTCCGTCAGGGCTGCGTCCTTTCCACAATATTCAATTATGCGGTGGACTGGATAATGGGCATCGCTTGTCTGCACTCAAGAGGTGCGAATTAGTCCAGAATATAGCATCAAAGACCTAGAACAAGTTGATGATGTAGTCCTTTTTACTGTCAGTTATGAGGAAATGCAAATATTGTTAAACAATATGTCAACAACTGTAGCGAGAATTGGACTCAAAGTCAGTTTTTTACAGGATGCTGATAAAATACTTATTCTTGTCAATTCATTGCCGGTTGAGGAAATACTTGACTTTAAATACCTTAGATCCACTCTAATCCCAAATGGCCAAGCAAAGGATGAAATTGTAACTCGAATAAGGACAGCTAGAAATATTTTTCCTGTTGATGAAATCTTTATGGAACCGTCGAAAAATCACCAAAAGACGAAGTTCCGCGTCCATATAGCTCGATGTTGCTATATGGCTGCGAAATATGGCCAATAAGAGTGGAAGACATTAAGAAGCTATTAGCCTTTGACCACTCATATCTAAGGCATATCGTACGGATCCATGGAGCGGATAAAATCATACATGGTTATGTCTTCGTCAATCTTCGTATTAATAATGATACAAATGATATCACAAAGCGTCACCTACCCTGGTTACGGCGCATTCTCCGTTGTCCACCACAGGAATTGACGAATATTTCGTTATTTGCTAAATTCTGTGATGGCGTCGAAAGCAAGGAAGGCCAGTGAAGACCTGGACTGATAAAATCAGGAAAAGTTTTGGACGATTAGGGGGACCAGGATATATTGACTTAGACGATGGAAAGAGGAATTGCTTCTATTGCTGCTAGCAATGGCGTCAGTTCGAAAGAGACGTTCTTCTTGGAGTCGTTTTACCCTCGTAGCCAGCGGAGTTAGCCTAATTAGTAATGGTGAGAGAAGTTAGAAGAAGAATTTTTTAAATCTGATTTCGCGATTATGAAATGTAAATATGAAGTATTTAGTCCTTAATCTATAGTTAAATTTAAGATTATTTGATATTTAATGTTATTATAAAATTTGCTTCCGGTTCATATGTCAGAATGTTCATTTAACCGTGTATTTAATGTTCATTTAATTATTACATTATATACATTATATTTGCATTAATTTGTTGATAATTGGAATTTATCTTTGGAACTAACTTTGGATCTTTGAAATCAAGGTTTGGCTTTTTAATGTTGTGTTTATACTTTGCACGATTTAAACCGAATCTTTTTTAGTTACTGGAACAGTTGGATAGTGAACGTCATAACTTATCGTTGCTTAAAAATTCGAACGAATGGGAACCTCCTAAAATTAATAAAGAACTAGCGGCTAAGCTGCATGCTGAAATTATTGTCGAAGACAAAAAATTCAATAGGAAAATCAGAAGAAAGGTCATTTTATAGACGGCAATTAATAATAATTGTTGTAGATAATTATTTTATAAAAGTAATTTTTAAAAAAATTTCTTTTAGAAAGAAAATGCTTCCAGTCTACTTGAAGACGAGCGTTTTAAACAAATGTTCTCAAACCCAGATTTTCAAATCGATGAAACAAGTGAACAGTTTCAACTTATCAATCCTGCACTCAAAAAATTGGAAGCTAAACGCAATAAATCTAAATTTAAATTACGAGAAAATGAAATCTTGAAGGATAAAACGGTATTGCCTTTTATCTTTTTATGTGCAAAACTCTTGATGGATCTAATTTCAAAAGTTAAATTGTTATATTTTATTCTTTTAATATTTTTATCTGTTTAGAAGACTAAACTCGAATAAAATTCTGAATATTTAATGTGTTAGGACCTTATATGTTATTATTATTTTTAAAATTATTGTTGCATTCGTTTCTACCAATTATTTGACCTTATGCAATGGCTTATGATCATTCAGTTATTTAGGATGATATTCCCGGAAGTAATCTCCTCTCTAATGAAGAAATTCATGCTTCATGTTCTAGCAGTGAAAGTGATCTTGATGAAAAGGATAATGGCAATAATGAGAGTAATGAAAATCATTTAGAAGATTTCGTTATTCCCATCGAAGTTAGTCGTTTATCTGTTCTAATTACTTATCATCCATTTCACTTTATGAATACCTTATAATAGAAAAAAATTATATAGTTTCAAATGATTTTAGACGCAAACAGAAGGTGATCATGTCGAAGAGAGTCAGGGAAAAACGAAAATAAGAAAAAAACCACGAGGATTTAAATTATTTGAATTAGAAACTGGTGAAGATGCTTCGCAATTCTTGCTCAGTACTGCGTCAGGAGTTCGTTCATTTTTAATACATGTGTGAATGTTAGGGAGCGGCTTAAAATTCTTGAAGTCAAAATCCAGATCCCGCTTAAGAAAAAAAGTATTAAATAACTTCATTTGCTTTTATGGCAAGAACAACCTCAGTTTCTGATGGTCTTAATTATATCTGTGGTAGGAAAAATTTTAGAAATGAAGATTTTTGAAGTTTTTGTCGTTTTTCTTCATTTTGAAATATCTAAAAATCCCTAAATATAGAACAAAATTCCTTTCAATTTCACTTCATAAATTATTTTCAACGAGTCTTTCCATATTAGAAATAATACCAGATCGATATAGCAGAATGGTTCTGCTTCCAGTTCTTAAGGCGGCAGGTCGTACTGCGATAATTACCGGGAATCAGCCTACTAGACATCTTTGGAATAATTTTCGCTTCCATTCTGCTAAATAAACTCGTGATAACACGAAATAACTGATCTTAACCAAGCCGGATTCAAACTGGGATGCAGTTGTGCTGACCAGATATTTACGCGAAGAAGAGTGCTGGAACATCACTTTAGATATCAGCAATCCACCGTCACTTTATCGATTATGCCTTCGATTCGATTGAGAAAGTAGCGCTCTGGAAAGTGATGGAATTTGACGGTGTTACAAAGAAGATCATTCGGCGCATAAAGGCATTTTATCAGCAGAGGTCTGTATATATGGGGAATTGACAGAAATAATTAATTTTTCGAAACAGAACTGTTGTTTGTCAAGGTTGCATCCTTTCTCTTCAATATTCAATTATGCGATAGTCTGGGTAATGGGCATCGCCTGTCGGCACTTAAGAGGTGTGCGAATCATTCTAGGGCATAGCATCACAGACCTTTAATACGCTGATGGTGTAGTCCTTTTTGTTGATAGTTATCAAAAAATGTAAACAATATATCAACAACCGCAGCGAGAATCAGACTCAGGACCAATGTGAATAAAATAAAAGTCGTTACCGCGGTCGCAGACATTCTTTGATTGGTCCTCTATCGATTTATCGATTTTATTTATTTTTGAATATACTCATACACTTGGTATCTGTGGTACCTGATAGACAGACATCACGGCAAGGCAAGTTATTGGTTGGTAGTTGGACAATTTTGGTCCCTCATGAAAGTTTTTTATAGTCAATAAAAGCATTCAGCAGCATTCTGCGTGAATGTCTGCAGCATACAGTTGGTTTATCATTGTTGCTAAGTTTCATGAATCGCCATTAATTTCTTTAGCCAGTAAATGTGGATCATATTAAGTGCTGTCTTTCATATTTTTTACCGCTGAATGTCTTCTGTGATGTTCCTGTCCGGGAGATTGTTGTGGTTTGTTTTCAAGTCTTGCAGTCATTTTATATTGGTATTATGAATATTCTTTTTCCATATATTTTTCCAGCGTTGTACCGTTTCTTCTGTTTGTATCTGTGTTGTTACCATATTATTCAAGTTGAGAGTTTTTTTTTGCGCCAATTGCTGCCATGTCAATTGCTGTATTTTGCAGAATGGAGTTTCCAGCTTTGCTTATCAGTTTATTTGGATGTATATCCTTTTCTCTTATTTCGGAATATTTTGGATTTAAGATCTAGTGCAGGCTTAATCTATTTCTACGCCTTGGACGATTCTTTGGGGAACAGGATATTTATTTTTTGCTTCTCCAGTGGATCTCCTTAATTTATGTGGCTAATGCTATTTTTCATTTAGCAGACTCGTGATTCTGGTGGGGTTTACCTTCTTGTAGTTTTATTAATTCAAAAAGAAGAAATAAAATTTTTTTCTAAAATTTCTGAAAGAAGTGACTTGCGTACTCGTCGACAGTTTCACGAATTTGCCTTGAAATACAGCTAATTGTAGATTTTATTAGTTCCAAATATAATATAATATAATATAATATAATAGAACGATGTGCAAAATAATATATCAATTATATTATGAATTGAAATATAGAATTACGATTAAAATGTAGGATTACAAATGAAAGGTAGAATTTCGATTAAATATGAAATTGTTGTAGAAACCGACTGAAAAGTAAACCGACCGATAAAAAACCGTATCCTATTGGAACACTAACAAAAAAAACAAAACCGACCATATAAACACTCTCTGGTCTTCGATCGCATTCCTTTCTTGTTGTTTATAGGAAATTTTTTAAAGGAAAGGAAGAGATTTAGACATATAATTTCCTTACAAATTAGCAGTATTCATTCACAAAGGAAATTTGCATTCAAAAATATCGGATGAAGCTTGTTTGCGATTTTAAGAATGAAAAAGTGCTTATTCGTTTTCTCCAAAATCTCTTGTATTTTCCCAGTGTCCGGATCCTATTCTTAATTTTTGCAGTTTTATTTCTCATTAACTTCCTTACATTATGCTTAATTTTATTCTCCAGCCTCATTTTCCGAGAATTAGCATTACTGTTGTTCTTGATCCACTCTTGATTGATTCTGTATCCAAGCATTTCGAGAATTACTTCGCCTATGTCGTCTATCAAATCATTGGTTTATTTTATAGTGGTAATATATAGGAATTGTTGCGAGGTTTTGTCTTTTCGCATTTTCAAATATTGTCTACACCGGACCTCGATAATCAGCTTTGAGGATTAATTACTCCAGTTTATTTTTTTTTTTGTGTTATATCAATTGCTCTGCTTTTCAACAGAAGATTTGGAAGGGAATTCCCAACTTTCTCAGTTTCTCAGTTTGTTTTGATTCAGTTTGTTCTCAAGCCTCTCAATTTGTTTTGACTTTTTACGCACATCCCTTTTCTCTTATTTCAGAACATCTTGGGTCTGAGATTTAGTACATTAATCCATCTCTATAGTGATTTTTGTCAAATAATTTATCAATTGGAAATCACCCACATTTTAATTGAATTAATTAGAAAATAAGATTAAATAGTTGTCATGTATTATTTTCTTTGTTTTCCATAAAAGAAAGTCAACACATTTCTGGGGTTTTGTGGTATTTACTGGTATAAAATGAGATGAGAATATTTCTGGGGCTCCTGTTGTTAAGGAAAGTCAACAATTTTTAAGGTTTTTTCTTATTCATGGTTTTGAATTTTTAATTTTCAGTATTTTGATATAAATTCGAAATTTATTTTTTGTTTACTACTTTATTTTGAAAAAACCCATTTTATCTCTTTTTAGGAAAATATTGAAACCCTAGGTTCGCTTCGTGAGCGTCTTAATGGAACATCTCTTGTTGAAGATAACATTTCTTTCGGTGGTTGTCAAATGTCCTATCGTTTACAGTCTCGTGGAGGTATTGCTGCGAATATAAGGCGAATAGCTGAAAAACAGGAAGAGCATTTAAAAGAACGAAGACAATTGCGACGAGAAACCCGAGAAATCACGAAAACTTTAAAGCGATTACCTGTTCGTGGATCATTTAGCTCGAGAGGAGGACGCGATGTGTAATGAAGAATTGGAAACGCTATCATTTTGCTATCATATTTAAAAATTAGTTTTGTGCTCATTTATTACGCATCTACCATTTTATTATACATTCATCTTTTTGTGTATGTTGAAATCTTTTGGTCATAATTCATATTAGAGTAAAAAATTTGCAAAAACGATATGATTATCGTATAAAAACAGCAATTGCCATTTTTGTACTTGCTAAATGCATTGGTTATTTGGGTGCAGTCTGAAATTATTTATTTAATTTAATAATTTATCGGATAGTCGTTACCGTCGCGTTCCTTCCATTATCCTCCAAAGTACTGTTTAATCAATTGAATCGAGGCAGCTGCAGATTCGATGAAACACGTAAGGGTGGGATGGATTGAAGCGATATTCCAGCACCCTTCTTAATGTGATTATTTGGTCACGCTGGGAATTACTCGGCGACAGACGTCATCGACCTTTCACCTTGTACATTTCACCTGAACTTGACCCTGCCGTAAACTCATGAAGTAAACCCATATTGTAAACCCATATGCTTGTTTTGTCGATGTAATGTATCATTCGACCATCATATCCTATTTCTGTTGTAAATCGCGAATGGATAACAATTTGTTTGCTTGCTTTGTCAGTATTCCGATTGGTTCGATTGTTTCAGTTTTAATATTGGAAACATTAACTGCAGTGAATTTAATCATTGTATTTAATTGAGATGTTTCTGAAGAAATCATTTGTTCGTCGTATTTCAAAGGTATTTTTGTTATCTCCGCATTTGGTCAATGTTGTCTATTGTTCGGTTACTTGTCCGTACTTTACTTTTAGCTCCTTAGCAAAGATGAAATCTTAATGACCAATTTAACCAGAAATGTTTAATGGTCTGAATTTAACCAGAAATGATGAATGAATGTTGTCATAAAACGACTATAGCGCGGGTGCACTCCGCGAATGTTTAATTTTTTAACTTTCAACTATTTTAGACTTTTCTAATATATTTTGGTTATAAAGCATTCATCAGTCTGAAAAAAGTAAAAAAAATATGAAAGTTTTGGGGGAAGAGCGTTTCAATATTTCCCTTAATTTTTTATTCCTATTGTTAACAAAAAAGTGAATGCGAACGAAATTACAGTAAAAAATAGAGAGAATTGGTGATTTCTATTAATAAAATTGTAGTGGGGAAAAGAACCATTTTGTTGACGAGTTGAATCTTTATTTCTGGTGAGGAAAAGGGGTGCCATTAAATACCATTGTTTAATTTAGAGAATTGCGTACAGGTAACTTTTATCGAATATAAGTGCAGAAGTTAGAATGTTTGCCGAATGCAATAATGAAAAGACAAAAAAGCTTTCCCAAAAAGTTTCGATTGTAATTTTAAAAGAATTGAAGAAAAGTAATCATTTTGAACTAGTGCGATGCCGAATACTCATTTGCTGTTCTATTAATTTTAGCTTCAAAGAAAGTCATCCCAACAGCCAATGGAATCAGCTAAGCTTGAAATCGTGCATTCTATTATAGGAAGACAGAATGATAGAAGATAGAAAAAATGATAGAACTATTTTTAACATTCGCATAAAGAGCGGAAATTTGCGTCATTTGAGCATTCGCCATTTTTCTTTATTCCGGATCCATTTTCTTTTTTTAGAGGTTAAAATTAAAATTAAATTAATTAAAATAACTTTAAAAGAAGTTTGAAAATATATTAGGTCTCATCGCTCGTTTATTTTTATTAAAAAGCGGCAGCGCACGATTTAAAGATTTTAAGCATTTTTTTGAAACCAAAAATCGATGCGTAGGGATTGTGTGGAAAGCATATGAATTGGAAAAAATTGGCAAAATAAATTGAGCACAAATTTAAATTATTTCGTGTTAATTATGAAGTGCTGGTTGCTGCTCTGGTAATCTGACGCCAGGCGTCTGGTTCAAGCATTGGAGTTTGGACCTTGAACCATATAAAGCAAGTAACTTACCTCTTGAAATGAGTTTGCAAAAAGTTAATACTGGCGCATTATTCGTTCATTTGGATATTTCAGATATTCCAACTGAATTAATTCTCTTGCCACCACGATGATAGGAGTAGAATGGCTCGATGAGTCGTTCATCATTTCGGACCCTCAGTGCTCGGATTTTATCTCTGGCAGGAGCAAACCTATTTGACGACCTGCAATCTATCATCAAAATGATGATGGGTTTATCTAATGGGTTTATCTGGTACGACAACGCGAATCTAACCAGAAATGAGCGTTCTTAGAAAAAAAAAATGTGAGGAGATGAATTTAAGCGTCAGTTGTCTTCAAATTCATGCAGAAATTTCCTTCTAAAATTTTTTTATTAATTGAAAACGACACCTTGTTGCTAGAATAAATAAATAGAAGGCAAGCGCTGTCCAATTCTGGTTAAACTGACTTTGCTAATTTTTATGCAGCTAGAAATTTTTCCCACGGAATCATAAAGCTAGTAGGTAAATCGCCAACACCACATTTTAATTTTTCATTAAAAATAAGATTTATACAAAAAAGGCCTATTGCTAATTAATTCTCTCCTTGAATAATTAATTTGGGAAATCAGTTAGCTTTCTCCAATGAGAAAATACATACACACATTTAATGAGTCTTTTATTTGATATATGAGTGATACACCAAAAATAAATAAGATTTCTTTATCATTCTTTATTATTAGAATATTTTTCTATTTTTTGCTGGTTGGCTAATGGCTAATTATTTCGTTCTCTTTCAATATTAAAAAATTATAAGCCATCGAAATGTGAGAAAATTTAATATTATTAAAAATTTAAAAAAAAACGATTTAATAGACTATCCCTTGAGGAATGAAATTTTTTATGTAAAACAATGTAGTCATACAATCCAATTCAATTCTTTTGCCTGTTATGGTTTTAATTCCCTTTTTGTCTATTTTTACTTATTCAAATTTAGTTGATGTATAAATAATATATAGAAGTAACAGGATTTCCTTAAATTCTCTCTACACTGAACTTAATTATGTGCACTAGAATTAAATATATTAAACAAATGGCACCATTACCGAAATAATTTGAATTTTCTAGTTGTTTGGGTATCATTGATAATTATTGTAATAATTATTATTAATAATTATTGATCATTGAATTATCTGCAAATCTTCAAATTTATTTTTGGCTATCGCCGTCAAATGAATTTCTCTCTTCTATATTGATTTAGCTGGCTTCTTCAACTACTATGGTGCCAACATCTCGGTAGAAAACCATTTGGGAATAAACTAGGTGAAAATCTTCAGTGCAAGCTGGATTTCATTTTTGCTTCCAACGAATGATTGGAGTAAAGCTTATGAAGCTTGATTTTAACCGAAGCGACATCCTATGCAAAGATCCACATCAGTTGTGATTATTTCTGTAGTGCAGAATGTGCCTTTACTTCTGTTTGCAAATGGTTTCATGAAGAGTATGCGATCCTAATATCCAGTAAGACGAACCAAATCAAAAATAGTAAATACGATTAGAAAAAAAGAATTTCAAAAAAGCACTGCTATTATTGATAATTTTTTAATCTTCGAACTGATTTTTTCAGTCTTTTTCATTTTATTACAATTCGTCGTTTAAATATTTGGGAGGAATTAAGACATTGCTATTTAAAAGGAAAAAGTATTTTTTTCTTTTCCATGAAATATTGGATTGACAATTTCACAATTTCCTCAACTAAACTTTTTTATTTCATTCATTTCGTCTTTTAGAGTAATATAATACAGATGAAAATGAAATCAAATCCGGAGCTATTTTCAATTCATATGAGACTTGTGAAGTCTTCCAAAAATATCCACACTTTCCTTTATCCATGTGCGCTATGTTGTGTGGTAAGATGGGGCGCTAGCGAATCGATCGCATTTTCGAGTTGCTGCGATTCCATGTTATGAAGCTTTCTATCGAATTTTATATGCAAGTATTTGCCTATTCTATGGCAAATTGACACTGTTTAAGTTTTTGCTTTTGAAAGAAACATTAGGTATTATTTGCTCTTTTTATTTTATAACTTCCAGTTTCCTTCTTGTTTCACATATTTTTATAATTTGCTAAGTCCATATTTCGGTATTTAATAATGCGATATTTTTATCATTATCTAGTGTTGCGTTAAAAGAAGGATTGGCTGGAATAATTCTCGTGATTTGTTATTATTATATTCCCGTGTGGCTGCTATGAGCTCTGTTGTTCGCCTTTGAGAACAGCTCTCGCTGGTTATTAATTCTTGTTTTCATCGTTATTTTTGCTATCATTTTGTTAAAAGCTCTTGGAAAAACGCAATTTCCAATTTTTTACTGATAAAATTCACAGTTTTTTAAATATTTCAAATTTTGAATATTTCAAATAATAAATTGTTATATTAATCTTTCTTGAAGAAATTTTATTTAACTCGAATTGACCATTTCTCTTACAATTTTGAGAAAATATTTACGCTTCAATTCGATTATCAATTCAATTCTTCAAATCATAGTTCTTTGGCCGAAAATGAAAAATATTTATCCAAATAAGTATTAAAATCTTAAAATTTTAATTTCAATAATCTCGATTTTTTCACGACAATTTTTTTTCAGCGGATTCATTTTTCGATTTTATTTTTTTGATATTCATTTGCTGAAAAGGTCGATTTTCTCAATTTTTTATTTTTATGCAATTTTTTGCCGTCCCGAAATTTAAATCGCGGCTTATCGATTTGCATTGCATTGCGTTTGACAGTTAGCGAATTTTTCTGATAATAATGGAACTCTTACTCGGGTTTCTGCAATTTTCGTGCTTCTCGGTCATTGCCTTATTTTGTTTACTGATTTTTGAAATGAATTTTTACAGACCAATTTAGAAAAAATGGTTCTTAGAGAAAACGTAATTCAATATTTCGTTGAAATTTCTCATTACATCTCATTACCTTTGAATTTTAAACGTTCCATTTTAAATCGTTTGCTTCGATTTTTTCCATTTTCTTTTTTTTAAATTTTGAATCTTTATGAATCTATTATGAATCTTTGAACCTTGGAAA